CCCCAAAACCCCAAAACCCCAAAACCCCAAAACCCCTGAAGAAGGCTCACCAATGGAACGTTAAATAATAAAGAAATTACCGTTATGGTTCTCTATGATAAAAGACTTTTGATCTTGGCTCTGCTATCTCTCAGTGTCCTTCTGCCAGTCATCCAGGCTAACCAAGTACATGAAGGGAAACAGGGTGGCTGAACTGGCAAAGACACAATAGAATGTAAAGGATATAAGATGATGAATAACCTGAAAAAGCATTCTGATAAAGTGATCAGTGCTTTCACCGCTGCTAGAAATCTAGCCTCTGATTTTAGTAATGAAAATTGGCAAATCTTTAAGGATCAGCTTTATTATCTCCTTCCTAGGAAATTTAGAGCCGGGCCTGACATTTTTATTGAATTTGTCATATATACTATTTCCAAGTCATATCAATTAGTTCCAAAAGAGAAAATAGATGGGATGCTACAGCTGGCACATGAACTTTATTTTGCTAAAATGAACATAATCCAGAAGATCATTCAGTATAAAGGCTTCAACCCATTTCTGGACAAAGACCAAAACAACTGCATTCGAACTTTGATAAATGAATTAATTATGCCTCCAAATTACCAATACAAAACTGACACCTCAGCTTGTAAATCCTACAAAGATACCATCAACAGCCTCCTAATCCCTCTTGCAAACCCCCCTACCACCTTCAAAGGCCTATACGTAAGTCTCCTCTCTCTCCCTCCTCCCTCTCAAAATTCTCTAAACAAATTCCGCAATTTTCCCTCATCCACCCCAAAAATTCCAAATTTTCAAAAATTCCAAAATTTGACTTTTCTGTAAAAACCTGAATTTTCAATAGAAATATGGCTTAGTGGTCACTCCGGTCCTGTTGCTGGTATTGATTGTAGTAGGAGTTGGATTAGTCTGGAAGGAATTTAAGGTTTTTAAGGACTTGAAGGCGCAAGAGCCTAAAGTTATTGAACTGGAGCCAAGTGATGGGGAAGTCAGTGGGGGAAGTTATCAAACTGAAGAGTTTTTTATGGCTTAGAGATGAGATTTTTGGGCTGGTTATGAATTTCAATGGGGTTTGAGTGATTTGGGGTTTTGGGGTTTTGGGGTTTTGGGG